ATTAACCAAACCATCGTCATCCCCCACTCCCCACTAGCCTTCTCGGTCTCTGGTAATCACCATTCTATTCACAATCCACATGAGATCAATCTTTTTGGCTTCTACATATGAGTGAGAACATGCAGTGTCTTTCTGTGCCTGGCTTATTTCTCTTAATGTCCACCAGGTCCATCCATGTTGTTGTAAATGACAGGATTTTGCTTTTTTTTAAGGCTGACATATATTTCACTGTGTATATATACTATGTGTGTGTGTATATATATATATATTCATAATCCATTTATTCACTGATTGCATGTATCAAAATATCACATATATACCATAAATATATATAACCATTATGTATCCATAAAAATTAAAAATTAAAACAAAACTGTGAATATGGAGTAAAGTACACAGACTTTGTAAATGCTAAGTCAAATTCTACTTTTTAATTCTCCATATTTTCAGTGTCACTTTCTTTTGTTGTTGTTGTTGTTGCTGAGATGGAGTTTTGCTCTTGTCGCCCAGGCTGGAGTACAGTAGTACAATCTCATCTCACTACAACCTCTACCTCCCAGGTTCAAGCATTTCTCCTGCCTCAGCTGCCCAAGTAGCTGGGATTACAGGTGTCTGTCACCACACCTGGCTAATTTTTGTATTTTTAGTAGTGACGGGATCTCACCATGTTGGCCAACCTGGTCTTGAACTCCTGACCTCAAGCAATCCACCTGCTTCGGCCTTGCAAAGGGCTGGGATTACAGGCATAAGCCACTGTGCCCGGCCTCAATGTCCCTTTGATATGGAGTAATAGGAAGAGGATGAGGTAGGTAGAATCAAGGATGGTGAAATTTTCAGTTTCCCACAAGCCACACAGGAGCTGATCATTTTAGAAAGCCACCCATTGGAATACATCAGCTGGAGAATGTTATTTTTAAGAAAAAGAAAGTAAATAAAAAACCAAACAATTTAATTTATCTAGAAAGAATTCAGCTTGGGTAGTTGTGCAGGACAGGTGTATGTATTTTATTTTGAAATGAATGCATTATGAAAAGATTGAATATGAAAGCCATGCCTGTTACCCTGAAAACATTAATCTTAAAGGAGCCATTAGGGAATGAGCCATGAGCTGAATAATGGATATGTATGTTCTTCTAATGGCATCACTTACGGCCAGTGTGATGAGGGCAAAAGTTATGCATACAGACTGCCTATACAAATGTTTGTATTCTAAATGTCTCTGTGCTCCAATATTGCCTGCCTGCCTTAAATCATCATTTCCTAGGTGTCCACTCTAAAAGCTTATCCCTCTTGCCCAGCATCTAATAGGTATTCTGGAAAATGCAACATGTTGAGACTACTAGAACTGCAGAGCTGGAGAAAACTTTAGCGATGTTCTTATAACCCAATTCTTATTCAATAACATTGATTTTTTCCTCAAATTATAAAATTAACATATGTTCATTATAAGGAATAAGAAAATGAAACAACCTATAATTCAAATATCAAAGTTCTGAATTTCTTTTCAGTATTCTTTGAGGGGAGGAGGATGAGTATATATACGTGTGTGTGTGTGTATGTGTATGTATGTATATATGCACAAACTCACATGTACATTTTAAATCTTTCAAAATTGAGATCATATTGTAAGTCCAGTTTTTAATAATAGGTACATGGTGTGAATTTTCCCTTGTTAGTAAATATTCTTTAAAAACCATGATTTAAAAAAATAATGTAAGGCGAAATTTACATAACATAAAATTAACCATTTGAAAGTGAAGAGTTTAGTGGCATTTACTACATTCACAATGTTGTGCAACCATCATCTCCATCTGATTTCAAAACATTCCTATCACTCCAAGGTAAAATCCCATACCCATTAAGCAGTTTTTCCTCATTCTTCTTTCTGGTAGCACTTGGAAACAACCAATTTGCATCCGGTCTCTGGATTTACCTATTCTGGATATTTTACGTACATGAAACCATACAACATGTGAACCTTTTGTGTCTGACTTTTCACTTGGAATAATGATTTTGCGATTCATCCACCTTGTAGCATGTATCAGTACCTCACTCTTTTTTATGGCAGAAAAATATTCCATTGTATGTATATACCGCTATTTATTCATTCATCCATTAACGGACATTTGGGTTGTTTCTTCTGACTGTTGCGAATAGTGTTGAACATATGTATACGTGTTCTTGTTTGAGTGTCTATTTTCATTTCGTTTGGGTATACACCTAGAGTGAAATATGCAGAATCATATGGTAATTCTATTTTTAGCTTTTTGAGGAAACACCAAAGTGTTTCCACAGCTGCTCTATCATTCTACATCCCTACCAGCAATGCATGAGGGTTCCAACTTCTCCACATCCTCACCGGAATTTATTAATTTCCATTTGTTTGCTTGTGTTTCATCACAGCCATTCATTACATCCATTAGAGAGGGTGCAAAGTGGTTTTTAACAGTTATGTGATTCATCTGGTTTCTCTACAATGTATCTTCCGGTCTCTACCCTATTGTTGACCTTTAGGTTGTTTTGAAATTGCTCTTGTTGTTACTAAACATGGGATGAAATTTTTATACAGTATATAAATCTGTAATTAAATATCATGATTTCCTCAGCAAAGTTCCTCAAAGCAATCATCTGGTTTTGCAGGTGAAGAAGCTGTGTTAGTAAGAGCTGAAACCAGAGCTCAAGTTACCTATACCTTAGCCAGTGTTTTCCTTCGATTTTTTCATGGGGTTGGGTCAGTGTTTTAGATGTAAGATGGATACCAGGTTAGATGGAACTCAGCTAAACACAGTGAATTCTTTAGCATTGGGTCTGAAACCCTGTGGAACCAATGGTTTCACAGTCCTGTCGAGTACTATGTCCACTTACACTATTTTGTCCTAAATGGAAAAAGGGCTGCACACACAGCAAAGCTGTATGTGTCCACAAGCACTGTTGCACACTGTGTGCCATCAACAACTTTACAGCATAGTTTCAACATAGTCTACCACAACTTCATCAGTTCTGCATGGCCACAAAGTCTTAGTAAAGGAGGTTCAGCTCAATCATACTGGGTCAGTTGCCTCTCTGCAGCATTGCCTTTCCACCTCCATGATATTTTGTGCTTGGGTAGGAGAATGCAACAGATTTGTGCTGTCATTGGTAGACCTCTATTTAAATGGTGTTTTCAATGAGGTTTGAGCTGGTAAAAGAGTGAGATCCAATGGTACATTTTAAAATTTTTAGTGAGATCCCAAAAAGAAATATATCCAGCCACATACAGTGCATAAAACTACAGTCTGTTTCCCCTCTAATTGGTAATAAATGTAAATGTTTAGTTATGCCTGACTAGGGAGCTATGAACAACACATCTGTCTGACTGCTTTTTCAGTCTTCCCAAGGACTGCAGCATTTATACCATCTGTAGCTTGTGCAAGAAAGAGACAGAGAAAAAGTGAGACCGAAATTTAGAGAATGGATATTACTAGAAGTGCATAGGAAATTGATTCAGTCAACAAATATTTATTGAGCACCTATTATAGCCTATGCATGTCAGGCCAAAAAAAAAAAAAAAAAAGAGGATGCTGTTGAGTTTGACGTTGATAATAAATCTCTCCCCTTCCTAAATTCTAAATCCATTGATGAGGTAGGGGGACGTTAAGCAAATGGAGATATAAATGTCAAGTTTATTACTGAAAACAAATACTGGTGAATGAGGCTTAGGCTACAATAATAATGGGTTTCCTAAGAGTGAGCTCTGGAATCAAACAGGCCCACCTGCCCTGACACAGAGCTGACAGAGGATTGCAGGGCTTACTCATGAGGGCAGAGCACAGACTACTTATCTGGAGGCCTGGTTAGAAGAAGAGCAGGCAGGCTCGCTGCAGGCCAGCAGGGCCCCCGTGAGGTAGAGGAGGGGAAGGGGCTGGCTGCAGGCCAGTTTTACTTCTTAAATGGGTCAGAGGAGCCAAGGGGATGGAGAAGAGCCAGACATACACAAAAATACTGTGGATCTCAGGCCTGTTAATATGTTAGGGTTACCTGGGACTCCATCCTCATGCCTAGAGAGTCTGATTCCATTGACTATGATTGGGTAGGAGACTTGGGTAGGAGAATGCAACAGATGATTGGGCATGGGCTTGGATATGTATTTTTAAAAACTTCCTAGGTAATTGTAGGTGTACAGCCAGGGTTGAGAATCATTGTCCTAATAGAACGTATGTGGAAGGAGCCCCTGCCATCATCCCATGCACTCCACTAGATACAATGATCAACGAGGGGTAGTTCTTGCCTTCCAGAACCTCTCATTCTCCTGATAGAGAAGGCATGATAGCAACAGTGCTGTTTGCCAAGGGCCGTAGGCACTCAGAGGATGGAGAGACCAAAGGCCCAGGGTTCCAGAGACCTTCCCAGCTCCATGGGTGGCCTGGGTTCAGAAGATCACCCTGGCAATTGTGGAAGAGGCAACATAGCAGAAACACGGATGTTTGAGAGGCCTCTTCTGATATTGCAATAGATCAAGAGACTATACTATAAAAATGAAGCAAGGTGGCTAGGGACACAGATTGCTCATTAATTCACATCCTTCAGGGTTCAGCCTTAGAATAACAAGCCGCCTTCTTGAGAGCAGGCTGCCTGTGGTCTGCCTGGGCCATATGTGCGGCCTCCACTGGGGGCCATGGTTCTGTGTGGAGGAGCTCAAGCTTCTTGAGGTCGTGCTGAGGATGAGGGGAGAGGATGAATATAAGGTGCACAGCTTGGCACCTGGCGTAGAGTGCCTGCTTGCTAGGTGTTAGGTGCTGCTGCTGCTGCTGCTGCTGCTGGTTCTGAGAAGCAAGAAAGCTGCAGCAGCATAGGTCTCTCCTTGGCTTGTTGGCTTGAACTCTGACTCACCTGTGTGAAAGCAGAGCTTTAGATGATTTGTGATGGGCTCACAGTTTTTCAGAAATGCGACAGATATTTTACTCCATGTTTTAATCATCAGTAATTGGAAACAACAACAAAATGCTGAGGATACCTGAACATTCCATCTTAATGAGTTTTATTGATAGTTAGACCAAACCAGGATTCAAAACCAAATAAGCATGTTTTCCATTTCCTTTAATCCTCATAACTACTTTGTGAGATACATTTTATAATCCCATTTTATAGATAAGAAACTGAGGTTGAGAGAAGTTAAATAATTTTTCTTATGTCAACTTTTAAGTAACAAACGAAGGATGAAAACTCAAGGCTCTGGTTTCACATCGGGCTCTGTTTTGATTATACTACAGCAAGATTATGGTGCTTTTTGCTTTTAGAGAGAAAAGGAGGAAAAAAAGCGTAATTCTCAAGTCCTTCAGAGGAACATGCCTACAAGATGTCCTTGTGGTGTAGAGAAATAGGGTTATACTAGTTTGAGTATTCTTGCTGGGCTCTATTGTCTAGAATAGTCACTATTTCTCTTTTATAAATGTGGAAAATCTGTTTTCTGAAGTTGAAAGTAAATTAACATTCACACTCTGCAAATTTATTTTTCAAGGGGCCTATACAATACTCTGAAGACTGCGAAAAAATAAGAACTTCTGGACTCAGAGTCATGTTTTTTCACAATTTAATTGTGTGCCATGTATCTTGGATCAGTATCCTCATTGTATGTTTTATGTGCCTGCAGACAATCCATGAAATGACATGACAAATATTGGCCATGAATTCCTTAAAGTTGCACTTGTGCCTCGCGTTTGACAGCTGACTTTTGACTAAAGGAATGAAAATGTTGGAGGAGATCAATATTGTTGAATTCAAAGGGTAACAGAGATGCTATGCTGTACTTAGGGAATACCCTTGGAGGATGACAGCCTTTAAGAGCTACAGTCTGACAGGGAAAAGGAGCCTGAGAAGGGAAGGGAGGTGGTCTCATCTTTCCCAGGGCCTGGTGACAATGTTTTTTGCTATAATATAAGTGCTGGATGCCTTTCCTCATCTTAATTTCAAATTGATTCTTCATTTTGAATCAGTTAGACATTGCGCTGTAGCAGTCCACACAATATCACTTGTCTTCTGGGCCTTCCTGGAGGTCATATCTTGGCAGCACTTCCAGCTGATTTGCAATTATCTTCACTCGCTTTTTAAAGAGGCATTTGACAAGCAAGTTCACTGCAAAGAGAAAGAAATGGTTGCTACATATTTTTCCATGACTGTCACAAACAAATTGGTGTCTCAATGAAGCTCCTTTCCACTTGGCAGCCTCAACTCAATTCAATACACATTGATGGAGATCATCCTCTGTTTGGGACATTGCGATGGACAGTGTAATAGTTTCAAGGCTAAATAAGCCCCAAGCCTTGCCTTCCAGATGGAAGCACTGTAGTAGGGACTAAGAGATGTACATAAATAACAATAGCACAATGGAGTCTCCATTGTCTAATAACTATGCGCTGCTTTTAAATCACAGGAAACTTCATCATCTTGGCCTTGGACATATGTCTTGCCATCCATACTATTTAAAATAGATTTGGCCAAAGATAAAAAGGTAAGAGATAGCATATAATTGCACCACTAACCACCCTAAGTCCCCCGAATTCTGCTGCTGGAGCATGAGAAACTTTATTAGAAGTGTTTCTGAACACAAGATGTGAAATATCAGGAACCGAATGATGAAGAACTAGAAACACTCGTATTTTGTAATGTAGGGACATTCTGGTATTATTTTAGGCCTAAGAGTTCCTTATCTAGACTTAAGTTTCAGCCTCTTAAATGATATTTCGGATCAGTTAATATTTATGAAATACCTACTATGTGCTCCCCACTTAGCTAGGTCTTACAGGGGAGGTACAAAGATAAATAAGAATTGTTTTGACTTTAAGGAGCTTGCAGCCTTGTGAGGATATAAAAAACAAATAATTTCAATAGCTCCTGTTGGGTGCTTTAGATAAGAAATCATGCTGGGCCCTGTCTTGGCAGAAAAGAGGGGTTTATGGCCCAAGTAGTGGGTCAGAAAGGCTCCCCAGAGAAGCAGCTGTTCCTCTAATCCTTGAGGGTATTAGAAAGGTGAAGAAAGTTGAGAAGGGAAGTCCAGGTAGAGGGGAAAAGAAAAGGCATAGAAGACAAGCGTATGTGGTGTTTAGGGAGAATTCTTGACTTTGTTTTCTTAGAATTAAGTGCGACTCAAGAAGGATTACCAGAGGGAGGTAGGTCAGGCAAAAGGAGGCTTCAGGTAGCATGCCAGGTGTTTGCGCTCCATCGTAATGGAGTTGTACTGAAAGTGTCCATGACTGCAATGTAGAAAAGACTTAAACGAAGCAAGGCAGGGATGGGAAAACAGGTGCCCAGTTCAGGAGGCTACAAATAAGAGGTTATAAAGGCCCGAGTTAGTGCTGTGAAAATAGAGGTGAAGGAAACGGTAAAATTGGCAGAGTTGAAAACTGATTGGATCCAAATATCAAGAAAGGAAAGGTCTAAAATGGCTCTGAGGTTTGGAGCCTGGATGACTGGATTGATGGCGGTATCATTTACAGGCATTGGAAAGAACAGAGAAGAGAAGGCTGGGGGAGGGAGAGGAAAATCTAATTTGGGATAGGTGCTGAAATAAGAGGTGTTTGTGAAACAACCGGGAAGGTGTTGACTAGGAAACAGGAGGTTCACATCTGAACTTCAGAGAAGAGCCAAGGGCTGAAAATACCAGCAGAGACCCTGTCTTCTTCTAGTCTGCCTTTCTTAGATCAGAGCTCAGGAAGGAGTAAGCAAGAAAGTAAATAATACATGTCTAAGATTGATTGCTTGGGGGCTGTGGGAGAGAACTATTTGCTCTAAAAGAGAAAATAAAATCTTTTAATATTTTCTATGGCTTAAATTCTGCATTACAGAAAAATACTTCAGACCAGAACAGAAGTTGGCTGTTAATCTCAGCCTGAAAGCATTTTTTCCACTACCTATATTTGGTGTTCATTCAGTTTATTTTTGGACACCATTGGAACTAACTTTGGAGAGTCTTCTTTTGGAGTTTATCCAGGGGCAGGTGACCTGGATAGTGAAGTATCTGGAAATTCTTTCATATGAGGATTAATTTAAATACTTGCAGATATTTAGTCAGGAGAAAGACATCATACACATACACAGAGATATATTGGCATACATAATAAACGCTTCCTTCAAATATTGAAAGGGTCGTCACATTAAAGAAATAATAGACTTATTGAACATACCTCCAGCTGATCAATGAGTGGAAGTTATATGCAGGTAGAGTTCACTTTTACTCAATAAATGATCATTAAACACCCAGATGTAGTATCCTCCTTTCTAATATAGGAGTCTAACAAGGAACAAGATAGATAAGGTCCCTGTTCTCCTGGAGTTCATATTCTAGTGATGAGGAGACAGATAATCAACAAGATAAATGACTTTATACACTGACAAGTACTGTGGGGATAGGAATGTAGTATTCAGAAACAGAGTAAGACCAAAGGGGGAATGTGAGGGCGGGGGCAGAGCTCTCTAGGCTGGGTGCTGGGGAAGTCCTTCTAAGGAGGAGACATTTTGAGATCAGAATGACAAGAGCCAGCCAATTTTAGAAAGAGCTTTCTGGGCCAGGTAAACTCAAGTGAAAAGGCCTTCGGTCAGGATTGAGGCTGAGCTATTGTAGCAAGAGAGCAGGGTGTGGCTGAGGGAAGGTGAATGGGAACGTAGTACCAAGATGAAATTGGATGGGTAGGCAGAGGAAGCTCAGAAAAGGCTTTCTGGATTTTGATTGTGATGGGAGATTACTATGTACATTTTGCACGGGCAGGACTTGTTCAGGCAGCAAATTATCTAAATTATACTTTCAAAAGATCACACTGGCTATTGAGTACAGAACAGAGTATGTGGGAGTTTACACAGAACAGTATTCGAGAGGACAGAGGACAGTAGATTGCAGTAGAGTGGTAATGTGGTAGAGAGAAATGGATTGGTTCCAGAAACATTTAATATATAAAAATCACAGGATTTGCTGAAGAATTGGATGTTGATGGGGCCATGAGGAAACGGGGGAATGAAGGAGGACTCTTAGGTTTTTGGCTTAAATGTTCCATTGGATGGTGCTGCCATTTGATAAGATAGAGAAAGAGTGGGAGGAACAGGTTGTAGACAACAGAGAGGGTTAACAGTTATGTTTTGGATATATTATATTGAAATTCCAATTTGATTCACACGTGGATGTATCATGTAGGAAGTTAGATGCATGAGTCTGGAGCTCGGGGAGGAGGTCCTGGTTAGAGCAACAAAAACTGGAAATCATCAACACATAGATGGGACATGAGCCATGCGAGTAGGAATGGAAGGAAACAGAAGAGAGACCTCAAAACTGAGCCTTACAAGTGTTTAACATTTAGAGACCAGTTAGAGGAAGCAGAGCCAGTAAAAGAGAAGGCCAATCATATAAGATAAAAACCAGGAGAAGGTGGCATAATGAAAATCAAAAGAAGAAAATAATTAAAGAAGAGGAAGCCATTCGATTTAAGGAAAATTCTGCAAAATTTAGATTTAGCCTATCATGGATGGAATCTCACAGTCCCCTGTCAAGGGAACAGGGCACATTATGTTTCATATCTCTCTTCTAGATGATAAAAACAATGTATCTAGATGATAAAACAATGTACACCAGCGGGCAAATGCCACCCAGGCCAGCACTGACTCAGAAGAAGGGACACAGAGATGTCTATCAGTTGCTCAAGGCTTGTCTTCTGGACACTCTTGTTACAGACATTACTGTGTTCTTAGAGACCCTTTTCCCTAATTCTGAGTCCTTGCCTTGTTCTCAGGTCTTCAGGGATTTTACTGATTCTTGCAGTCATCTCTCTCAACTAGAACCACTCTGGTTGTCTATCAATGTCCTGCCCTGGCCTGAGCAGACTACTTCCAAGATTTAGTTAGGTCCTTGTCCAATGCTACCTCCGCCTCCCTTGTCCTTTCACCCATCATTACCACCACGGTTACTTCCTGATTATAGACCAATTCTCAGATACAGATCCATGCATCTTGTATGACCAGGCCCTTAAACTTTGTCCAGCACCATAGATCTTTCTAGATTCCATCAGCTAGTTGCATCTGGTTTGGGACAGCTCACAGTGCCAGAACCTGGTTCTGATCATCATGAGTGAACAAGCTTACGTGGGATGAACCATCCGGAAGGGGGTCCTACCTTAAAGAGCAACTCTCCCATGTGAGAATGTTGTGTGGATAGCCTTTGAGGACTCTTCCAATGTAAGAATCTGGGGCATTTTGAAATATAATGTAAAGAAATGAATCTCGGTTCCTTTTTAGGGAATCATTTAGAAAGCAAACATTTAATGAAATACAATTACTTCTCCTTTTCTCTAGCATATGATTATTCACATTCTGAAATTCTGTTTCTCTATTTCCCTCATATGTTTTGTTTTAGGTTGAGGGATCTCTTATTTGCTGACAGGATATTTTGCTTCAGGCTAGTATATTGCTACTCAGGCAGAATTCTAAATGACAAGATTGTATACAAGAATGTACAGTTTCTTCTGGTCAAAGCTGACCTCCTAAAATTTTCTCGTATGTCCTAGACACTCAGTAAAAACTGAATGAATTGAACTGAAGCCTTTTAAAAAGTGGCTTCCTTGGTAAAGCAATGGTTGGCGTTGGTGTTCATTACTAGGATCTGGCCTGTGATGGGAAGAGGAGTTTTTGTGAAGCACACTCTCTGTTTCTCTCATCTATTCTCCTGTCAACGTTCAGATGACAGGTTGATGCTTTTCTGTGTGTAACTAGAATGCGGACAAGAATCATAAATTATAGATTTGGGAAATCTCAGAATATTTCTGCACTTTTCTAGTAAGCGGCATCATCACAGTATGTGTGTGTGAGGCAGAGGCATGTCATATTGCCTTGTTCCCTGTTCCCTCCCACAGCCACACTTAATGCAATGTAGGCTTACAAAGGCCTGGGTAGGGGAAGATACTTTTGTATATCTAACACAAAAGTCATTTGTAGTTTGCATATTTGTGTTGTTTGACCCAAAGAGGGTTGTTAAAACATTAAAGGCCAGGCATTCTCCAGTCCTCATTGTTATCTATTGCTCCTCACCTGCCTCATCCATTTTTGCTACCTGCTAGGCATGTGGATGCCTTTAAATGTATAAACCTGGTCTACAA